ATTATAACGATAGAAATAGTAATTAGTTAGATTACTAATTACTGAAAAAAGCAATGGCAATAACTTTTCCTTGGGCAAAGAATTGATAATGCACTTAAAACATTTTGTAAATAGAATAATTTGTAAAAATGTGCCACTTCCACCTGCTTTTAAACTGAAACTCTAACCATAACCTCCTCACTACCATGCTGTGTTTACCATTAGTTCCCATGCTGACTCGTGTTTAACTTTGCGCTCTACACAGCTTGCTAAACTGTTAATCTTGTTAAGAGTAGGCATCTACATGTGTATTTTCATGTGGCGCAACAAATGAGTACGATATCTGAATGCATTCCCACAAGTTTTGCAATGATATGGTTTCTCACCTGTGTGTATTCTTATGTGCTCTTTTAAATGACTGTTACGGGTGAACATTTTCCCACATGTTTTACAATGATATGGTTTCTCACCTGTGTGACGTTTTGTGTGCATCAGTAACAAACTTCTAAGTGGAAATGTTTTCCCACATGTTTTACAGTAAGGTTTCTCACTTGTGTGAATTTTTTTGTGCCTCAATAAGCCATTACTATGTGCAAACATTTTCCCACATATTTCACAGTGATGTCGCTTCTCACCTGTGTGCGTGATCATGTGGACAGTCAAACCATTTTTCTGTATAAAACTTTTCCCACACACTTTGCAAGAATATGGTTTCTCACCTGTGTGGATTCTCATGTGCTTCGCTACAGAACCACTACGTACAAACATTTTCCCACATGTTTTACAGGAAAACGGCTTCTCCCCTGTATGGATTCTATAATGTCTTTCCATTTCATAATTATATTTGTAGGCTTTTCCACAAACATCACATTTTAAAGACTTTTTACTTTTGTCAGACTTGCACTCACTGTCTGGCGTAGGTTGGTGTTCTACATTATTGTGTTTTTTTTTATTTTTTCTTCGTGATTGTGAATCTTTCTTCCTTCCTCCCTGATATTGTTTCACTGCTACAGCAGAGCTGACACAGTTGACTTGGTCTCTTTTTGGTTCTGGTTCACTGTGGTCTCTTTCCTCAGCAGCAGTCACCATAAAGGTATGAGTCTCCTCCTTAAGTACCAGCTGCTCTCCTTCCCGACTGCTACAGAGTTGCTCCTGTTCCTCTTTAATCTGTGGAGCTTCTGGTTCCTCTTGGTCCAGATCGGAGCTCCTCTCCTGGTTCCAGAGCTGCTGGTCAGCGATAACTTCCTCCTCCTTACAGAAATGCTGCTGTGGGACATCTGGAGGGGGAAAAGGAGACAATTAAAAGAAAGGTGATGTGAAAATAGAAAAATAAAATCATACTGAGCAAATATACTGCACAAAAAATAAAG